TCTTCATTTTACCACGAAACAAACGGAATTGAATTGGAAAACAATGCTATCGAATTTATCGACTTCTCATCGGCTCGGAAGAACAGAAAGGAGAACCGAGAAGACGCGCCGCCGCTTGCGAAATCGCTCTCTGGAATGCATCGCGGGATAAGATCGATCGCTGCGTGTGACGAGTGCGTGAAAAGAAAAGAAAAGAAACGCACGCGTCCGAATATGGGCTACCCGCTGACGCGTCCCGCCGCATCTCGGTGTACGCGAGGCGGAGGTGGACGACGCACTCGCGTCGCCAATCGTGTCGCGTAACAAAGCAGAGCGGTACACGTGTACCTTGTTAAATAATGCAGCCGCCGTTCTTTCCATTCACGTGGCGATACGTACGTGGACGCTCGGCGTCGCGCCTCGGGCGGCTCTAGCCTAGGCCGCCGGGAGATGCTCGTCGCTCCTATACCTACGGTCAGCCCCCGCGACTCGCTCCCATTCCGGCGCGATCGACGGCGGTGGTGCGGTCTCGCGTTTATCCTCGCTCCCCGTTCCCCTCTGGGATTTTCGCCTCCGGACGTGAGGGACAGCCTCGCGGGCCTTTTCGCCCTCTTCTCGATTATCCATGACGAGATAGCGCGGGGTCGCAGCCGACCTTCTCTCGCGAACGTAAGGTAAATCTCCGGCCCCCTCGGCGGCCCGATCGGGGATGCGCGGGTGTAACGATATGTTCGGCTTTCTTACGGGACAGCCGTTTTCCTGCCGCGTTTCGCTGGCTATCGGCGTGTAGTGCGTGTATGTGGACGTACGTGTATTACAGTGAAAGTGCGATTGATTGGCGTTTTTACATTGTGTCATCGGTCGCGTCTTGGAGCGACGCGCGCCAATTAAAATCCAGCTCGCAGGTGATTTCCGTGGCAATTAGCGCGTTAATTTTTCTCGTGTACGCTGTTAAATTTGTAGTGTTAAATCCATTTCAATAAGCGGAGAGATAGAGAAAGAGTCGCCACTGTTCCCACTCAATATGTCGTTAATTTAATTAAACATCGGAATTGAAAGAAACCATGTAATGGATTGAACAAAAGGCGCGGTTGGTGTTTCAACTGGTGGGCTTCAAGAGGTGAAGCGCTGACCAAGACCATGTACACCAATGCCTACTAATGCCCGGTGGGCATTACTTATTATCTTATTTTATCTTTAAAATGCCCCAGCAAGGCTTAACGCCAAAACTAATGCCCCAAAAATGCCTGGTATGCCCAGTAATGCCGCACATCTGTACACCACAATGTCCCCAGCGGTTTACCTCTCGGTTAAAAATAACGACTTAGCGAGTAGGAGCAGCGGCGACTGCTCGCTGACAATGAGTCAAATTTAACGCTATGACTTTAACAGCGCGTCCCCGCGAAATCGCCGGCTATTGCGCGGGGAGCAACCTCTTTGTATTTCTCAGATTTATCGAGACACTTTATCTCGAGAACGTTCTCGCGCGCAGCAATACGACGCGGGGATCTTTAATCTGCAAGTCACAGAACGGGATTAGTTCCGTTCTCGTTTCAACGTATTGATCTTACCCGGCAATTGATTAAGTTTTCGATACCCGTAAGCATACAGCGTGACGTAGCCAGCTCTACTGGCGGCGGACGTAAGGGGTGATTTCCCAAGCCGTGGAAGGAAAACAATTACGCGGGGAAATGTATGCGCGGGTACACGACACATGTCCCTTTAATTCACGGAAAGCCGCTGGACGTCCCGTTTTCGGCATATTGATTTTATCGAGCGCACATGATTCATTTACGACAGCGGTGATGTAGCACGTTGCGCGGCGAGACGCGCTTCGCGTCGCGACGCGTCGCACTGTCGTCAAGTTTTTCGGCGCCGAAATAACCGACGTTCATTCCGGCGAATTCGAAGCGCACGTTAGACCTGGGCAGTAGCGTGCAGAAAGTTGTCGCGGGAAGCTTGCCCCGGTTCCATTGATTAAATCAAGCGAATCGTATCTCGGCAAATTTAATGAAATGAATTAAATATGATGGACGCAGAGTAATCCGGAACGGCCGCGCTATGAAATCAATATATCAAACACCGAGTTCATTAATCGCGCGCGCGGTAACTTAATTATCCCTACGGAGCACTCTCGTTTCGAATGATAAAACTACTTTAACTTACTGAAACTTTCTCCCTTTTTTCATCTCTACACAAAGTTAACGATTCGTATTGCCTTCCTCAACGATCACGCTGAATTGCTCTACTCTTGTTGCATTATGAACTAATTTGTATGTAACATAAAGAATTACTTAACGCGAATGCATGATTAACCAATGTAGAAAATTGCTAGACGACTCTAGGCTGGCAAATTCTAATTAAAGAAATTCATTGCGAAAGATATTACCTCAGCCGGGGTTTGAAGCTGGACCTCCCTACACTCTAGGCGGGCGTCTCACCAATTCGACCACCGAGGCATATGGTAATATTTATCGCAATAAACAGTACTGCTGATGACATTAGATAATTTATGTTATGTCTTTCAAGTTTGCGACACAATTATATATATAAGACCTGTCATTGATAAGGATCGCATATGATGATCGAAACGTTGGACTTGCTCAATTAAACATTAAATCTAATATTCGCACCTAACGCCTGGCGTTTGGCTCTCATTGCCCCTTTCTGCTTGTTAACTTAGATGTCTATCATCAGAGCCCTAATAATATACATTTATTAATTTTTTTTACCTATTCGCCTACCACAATTCAGACGGTTATTTTTCCGGATTTTTGTCTATCGGCGCGATTTTTTATTTTTCTCGTATATTAATTTATATTTATTTTTCGTTATTTATCTCACCGCCCAATCAATACCGTTCCCGACGTACACTCCGTGCGCTATTTTTGGTTCCTCTTCTTTCTCCTCTCTTAAAGCGTTCGCTTCGAGGTAAATAAACCTAATCTACTTATCTTATCTGTTCCATACTTCGGGTTATCTATCACCTTTTCCCACCCCCCCCACCGTTCGCGCTTCGTGCTTTATCGTCACGAAGACACGTGGTTCGTGCTACTTACGTACCGATCTACTTTTAATATTCGCGCGATGTCACTCGCGATTATCGCCACGTCGGATTATCTTTCGCTCTTTAAATATCATATTTTAGTAATATCGCATTTTATTACACGTAATATACGTTTTCTCCGTTAAGTGTGTATTATAATGACAATTCTTATAAATTCTTATAAATGAAATAATCGATAAAGATTTCAACGTATTCCTGTTTGATCAAATGCGGACGAATATTGAGCAGAGCTAAGAAGAGATATTACAGTTTTTTTTTATATGCTGTCACGATAAGTGGTATTCGGGAATGAACATTAGACTATTTATTACGATGAATATTTCCACATGCCTCGGTGGTCGAATTGGTTGAGACGCCCCCGCCTAGTAAGAAGGAGGTCCAGGTTCAAACCCTGGCTGAGGTAATATTTTTCGCAATAAATTTAAAAATATGAAATATTTAGACACTAACACCCTGTCGCGGCTCTTAGTCCTTTATTCCTTTAAAAAGGAGATTACGATTCCATCCCAGGTTTCACGATTATTTTACAGCAGCATTCACACAATCCGCCTAAATTTTTTTCTCACGAACGAATTGTTCTTTCGTAGCGAATAAGGAAAGTGATCAATCAGAAGATAATACTGTTAATAATTTCAGGATATTATGTAACGCAGTACTCCCAAGTCCCTTTTTACGCAACAAATACGGGTTTCTGTACAAGAAACAAGTCGTGTTATTAAAAAAAGGTGCATGAAGAATACAGCTATTTGGAGAATAATTATAATCTTCGGTTCGTTGTCACGAGAATTCGACTATTTTCTGAAGATGAAATCAAGAGTGATTTCACCATCGGAAAAAATTTCTGCTACTGAGACAAAAAATATTCTTGACGCATTTGTATTTCTCACAAGCTTTTTTAGCAAAAATTTAGCCTAAAAATAAGAGACGATATCAAAATAAAATCAATAATTCTTATTCTCCTCTATCGAATTAAAAAAGATTGACTTATAACTATATTGAGACAAGAGTAACCTATATAAATGTAAGTTTATATACTCTTGCGTTTAGAATAAATTTTCCCTCCATCTTACAACGCACGAAGTTGGCACCACGATATTCGACAAAAGACTATTATTTTGTTCTAGGTTTTACCATTTTTCATTTAAGAATAAAATATTCCTTTCTCTATAATAAATACGATTGGCGCTGTATCGATCCTATTTTATGATACATTCAAGTGTAATAGCCATTGAATCCGGAAATTTTTTTCTGAGTGGGTGTAGTTCTAATTGTAAGTGAAACACCGGGAGATTCTGAGATCGCTCTCTCGCTAATCTCTTTCGCTCCGGCACCAATACGAGATGTTGCCCGCCACTAAATTTGACTATTAAATTAACGTACGTGACGACTTATTTTGCGTCCCTTCCACGAGCCCGCGAGTCAGTAGGAGAAGTCAGAGGTCTGTACCTCGTTTACGTCGCTTGTGACGCTGTCCAAGAATTGCAACGCAAAATAAGCAGCAAGAAATTAACATCTAGGTCTGTACACTGGAGGCTACATAAGTGTTTCGAAAGAACTGCGTAGGAAGAAAAAACGATCGCGCGAAAAGAGAGTTTGGCGTTACTGTAATTGATCAATTTCCTAAATCTTACGTCTTGAAATCGTAGACACCGCGTAACCCCCGGTCCACAATCTTGCTTTAAGTAAGCTGTAAGCCTTAAGCCGTAAGAAATTAACCAATCGCAGGTGAGAGTGAGGGGAATAAATGTCTGTGATTGGCTAATTTCTTACGGCTTAAGGCTTACAGCTTACTTAAAGCAAGGTTGTAGACCAACACTGACTCGCAGCCGCTCCTTTGAAGTAAGACGTCTCGACGAGCCCGCCCGCCCGCGTCAGAAATTCGCCCCCGCGCGCGCGCAAACGCGCTGTGCATAATTCAACGTTAATGTATAATGAAAGTGTACATATTTTCCAGGATGCAGGAACTGGCATTCCCGCGCCGAAAAGGGATACTCGCCCCGGTATCGGTGCTGGCGCTGCTGATACTGCCACTGGTCGATTTACCCTCGGCAAACGGTGAGTCACCTACGAATGGAATGGTTCGAGAGAGTTTTGTCCGCGTGTAAATACGTGTGTACGCGCGCACGCGCGCGCGTACACCGCTCGCCGTCTTTCATAATGCGCGAACAATGAGGGAACAGCAAATAATTACGTCTATTCGTCTATACGAGCGCCCTTGAACGCCACTCTACCCGTCTTCACCTCGCATGCCGCCTTATCGCGATGTTTGCTGTCACCTTAAAGAATGTTAAAGGCCTCGACGGTGTAAAGATCTGTTGTAACGCCGCTAAGTGCCAGGTGCTATCGGGTGAAATCATCCAGTACAACGCGATGACACGTAGCATCCATTGATAATGCTACTTTGAGGGCCGCCATTAGAGTGGCATATCTGCTTTACCTCGGTTCTCTTCTAGAGCCGAGGATAGCGGCCGAAACCTCGCGAAATTCGCGAAAGTTATTCGGACAATTACGGACGGCGCTCTGAAATAAATTCATATCAACTCGGAATTTGAACGCTTTATATTGCTTATATTTTTATTGCCGGTCTCGTATGATAAAAAAAAATACGAAATATTAATCATTGGAATGTTTTTATTAATTCCACCTGCGTAAAAATGTCATGGAAAATTTCGCGATATTCAGAAATAAACGCATTTGATGAATGGCAAGTATTTTTTGTTTAAGAGCGAAATGATTTATTTCCTGCCAGAGTTTAATTCGGCGTTTCAGCGAACGGCGGGCCTTTTGTCATTTTGCCCCGTCAAAATTTCATATACCGAATAGCCTGGTAATCGCATTTTAAGAATTTGCCAGGGCGAAGTTGTCTTAAGACGCGGTCGAAAAATTTGCACGACGATTTCCCCAGGTTCACAAGTCGATGAACAAATCGATCATGATTTTTCGGACCGTTTGATTCGATGACGACTAGATTCTTCGTTAATTTCGTACGAAGATCCGTATAATATAATACTTTGTCGATATCTTATTGACGTACAGTCGACTATTAGATGCATAGAGGAAAGTCCTCTATTATGAGATGGGATTCTAACATGAGACAGTAGGTTTTCAACGTCCAAATTCAATCACAAATCTTCTTGCAACGATTACATGATCTAACAGTAAACTTTCCACTAAACAAACTTCACTCCAGGAGCAATAAATTCATGGTGGAACCAACAGACGATGCCTGTTAATTTATTAGAAGCTTGTCTCATAATATGGGACTTTCCTCTACATACCAATTCGACGTATAGAAGATATCATGTCAATGTCGACCAATTAATGATGATTGAGTTGACATCTAGAAGATATATTCAAGTCGAGTCGACAGATGGAAATGTTAAATCGACTTTAATATGATATCAATTGAAATATGACTAGATCGTGGACATCTACAGAATATTTTATTTTCCAATCATAATGAAATCTTTTGAATATCAAGTTGATATGCACATGACCTCAACTTGATTTCAATATGATATTCACCAGATTCCTCAGCTTCACTTGTGAACCCGGCCTGTCCTCGAGAAAAAGCCCCCTCCCCTCCGCCCCCGTTTTCTTAATAACGCGTTCCCGTTAAAGGGGTAGTCAACGCGGTCCCACAAAGGACTCTCGCGGCCACGTGCACGAGAGAAGCGCGTTTAACACATTGTATAAAAGGAATATATTTAAATGCGGACACTCCATTTCCGCTACGAGGAAGCCCATCCGTCATGTTTCCCCGGGTTAAGTCGTCTTCTTGGGTTCCCTCGTCTCGCGTCTCCATCCGATTTCGGCTCTTCGCGCGCGCAAGAGACTCGCGGCTCTCGTCCGCGCCGCGCACTCGGGGGCTCGTTAGCTCGTTAACGAGTGGTCCCTTTCCCTGCTCCTCCACAGCTTCGCGCCTTGCCCGCGGGGCCTCTCTCAAAAAGAGCTGTTAAAGAGCAGAGAGACGCGAGACGCACAAAACCGCCGTCGCGCCTGTCGAGCGGCTGTCCGCGCGCCTGCGGTATCTGTCGCCGCTTCTTCTCGTCGAAGACGATCGCGAGAGGAGACAGAAAGAGAGAAAGAGATCGAGGTAGGGAGGGAGGGAGGGGGACCAGAGGGAGGAGACACCACCCTCTCTTCCCTCACTCCCGACCACGTCGAGATAAATGATGTTCCTTCGACGAAAGATGCGCGTCTAAAACGGTCGACGCTCCTCCTCGCCCTTCCTCCTTGTCGCTTGTACCAGCGTTCCACGTTGCTGGCTGCTCGGTTCGCGCGCGACGCACGTGCGCGCACCGCGCTTAGCATACAAGGTGTCCAAGAACCCCCCTCGCAGCCGGGCCGAATCGCGCGAGGTTGGGAGGGTGATAACTTCCGGGCGATCTCTTATCGAAGGCTCGCGCCTCCGCCGCGGACTGAGTGACCGGCGCGAATGTTCAATTGAACGGTGCGAAGGCGAGCGCGTTGCTGCTCCCCCGGCGTCCGAAACACTTTAGAGCTCTAATTAGAGACGACTTATGTCGACTGTTACGGGTAATGGCCGCCTACGAAACACCCCCACGGGGAAACGCCGACTCCATTTTCGTCGACGTGCCCGTCATTAATATTAAAGGCCGGATCGGTTCTGGGACACCCCGTAGACGCTGTCGCGTGTGTATCCCATTTCCCCTCGCGCACCCTCCGCGCCTCCGCCCTCTTCCCGGCTATTTCTGACATTCGCCATCGCTCGCGCACCGCCGAGCAAGCAGCCACCCCGAAATGTACGCACGTTCGATCGAACGCGCCAAACATCGCGAGCCGGTAAATATACGCGCTGTCGAACGCGCTCGGACGCGCTTCAACCCTTCGCCCAAGTGCGTTTATCGCCCGAAACCCCAGGGGGGGGGGGGGGACCGCGGCCCGCAAAAATGTCTCATACACGGATCTCCCCCTTGCGCGGGCAACTTGATAAATTCCATTTTATAAAATTGTTTATTCATGAGAGCTGACGCCGACGTCGGCTATGCATTCATATCCCACGTTGGACGCTACATTCAACGTTTATTTATCGTACGTTTAAACTGCCGAAATATTCCGGCAAATAAAGATTGGGTTTCATCGAGGCGAAACGGATCGCGAAACGTTTGAGAAGTTTAATGATATTCTTTTGCCATTTATAACCGCGCCGGAGCGGAGGCATTCGATCATCCGCACCGAGTCTGCTCCATTCTGCCTCGCGCGTCTGAAAACTTTCCGCTAGAGCATTCTCGTCCTGTCTGGCAACTTTTCATTAGAACTCGCTAAATAGCGTCGCTTGGCGGGCCGGTGACTAAGATAAACAGGCGACGAAGGCTGGGAAAATGACGGGTAACGCGGACCGCGTGTCGTTAACTTTTTCTCTCTCTCTCTGTCCTTTTTTTTTCTAACTCGCGCGTTCCGAGCATTGCTCGTCGCTTCGCCATGCACACGCAACGCGCAGCTCGACGCACAGTCCCCCTTCTTCGGCGTACGGTCTCACGCCCCGACCGCAGTAATCGTGTTGTATTGGACCCGATAGCAATTTTCTAATCGTCCGCGCCACTTAATGAAAGCCCCGACCACGTGGAGCCACTTAATTCTCCCAATCAAGCGAGAGCCTTCGCTTTTGGATTCTTCACCTGAATGAATGTGGACTCTGATTGAAAAGGAACTGATCTCTCTCCTCTTGTCGAAAAAGAATCCTTTCAACGAACGAGTCAACGATCCGGCTGTTTTTACAATTTACTCGATTGTACCGTGTAGAACAAAGTGCGATTCGGTACCGGGATCTATTTAGTTTCGAACTCTCTTACAGAGAGTGAATCGAAGGTACACTTGCAATTCGCGAGATTTGCATTGTAATACACCCAGTATTTTGATAAATGGTACACTGCAAAAAAATCTGGTGGATTCAACCAGTCGTCTGTTAGAAGAAGGACGAATCAGAATTCCTTCAGGATTTACCAGATGTGTAGTGAAGTCTAGCAAACTTCTGGTTATGAAATATCGAGCCCTATCGTGCCAACTAGAAATTCTGTTTGGTTTAGCCAAAGTACATTCTATCGTACATGTCTTGTTGATACAATCGAAGCATTTTTCTCAGTGTGGAAAGAGATACGCGATACAACGTAAAAGCCAAGTTTTTAGTTTCTATTAAATTAATTCCGGAGTCTAGTTCATTCTTACGCAGTTTAATACGTAAAGCTCGATTCAGAAAGATCACGGCTAAGTCTAGCGAAGTCTTTTCTCGCTAAGAAGAATTGATGAAAAATTTCCCATTGACGCAAAAATCCAAATTGGCGTCGGTTTGTCCGATTTGTAACTGCGAAATGATTAGCTAGAGTACATCAAGACCCATCGTCGCGAAGCGTATTAAGAGGCACTTTACGTTTCAGGAGCTTGTGAGTTTCCATCGAATTGGTCGGGGGAATGGTATCAGTACGGCAAGTCCCCAGTTGTCATAAACACGACCGTTCTCGGGGAACGAACGTGCATCGAAAGAACGGACGACAAATACATCGTCTATAATCCGTAAGTACCTGCTCATCTAAGCCGCGAAGAATACTTCAGTCATCGCGCGCGTTCAATCGCGCAAACTATTCCGTTTTGCCGTTGATAATGAAAGGTTTGCTTTTATCGTTTCAGCGGCGAAAATTGTTATCAGTGTATGATCATCAACGGACGCCATGAGAACGTTATTCAGTATCGCGAAGGTACGTTCATTGTATCCGAGTTCACCGGTGTTTGGGTATAAAATTTTAAGGCCGATTCAAGAAGGGATTAAAAAGCTGACCCGGCGACTATTTTTCTCAGGCTGGTGCCCTCGGGATCGGGCAGGTTTGGAGGAGATGTGCCAGACGATTACCTCGGACGACACGCTCTATTCGATGTTCCGCGTCAACTCGAAACCGATATCTTGCCCGTTCAGCGGTGCGTCGTTCACGTTCACGTATAATCGGGGTTACGGCGAGTGTTCCATGCCTATAAGCCTCGCGGAGAAGTGTACCGACGAGAGCAAGCTCCTCCTCAAGTACCAGGCCTGTCCGGACGTTGCGGGGACCGAGAGCAACAGTGAGTTAACCAATGTAAAAGCATTGTGTCCGCGTCGAGTCGATTTAGTTCGCCATACTTCATTTTATTACTTTCTACAGCGCGTGTATGAAATACTTTAGCATACTGGCGTTGTCAGCAGTTAATATCGCAGATAGAGTTCAATGCAATCACGAGTGAAGATATATGTGTGTTATTGCAAATCGCCAAGTAGAACAATATTTGATTTAGTTTATATTAGCTTAACTTTTTTATAGATTTCATAAAATGTATGTTTTAGTTTCACGCGATTCTATTAGATGCTCTACTAAGATATAAAAGTCTGTATACTCGTTTCAAATACTCGAAATATAAATAGTTCGTGTCTTAAACTTGTTTTGTTTCTTTATGAAATATACATGTAAAGTTTTTGATCATTTGCAGCCGAGGAATTGCAATGCCTTGCCATTTGGAACGATGGCCGAAATAAATATCTGGTGGGAATCTTGAAAGAGAGGAGCGCATTGGGCGACGCAAAAACCTACAGGTGAAACATGTTATTTTAATTCCGCGTAACGTACTATCCAAAGCCCCGTGACGGCCACGGCCTTTGTTGCGATTTTGTTGCGGTATGCCTATACTGCGCGCATCAAGTTGCTTATTTACGTCGATTGCACCTGTACACCAGATGTTCGTGTATTGCGGTTTTCGGCATGTTGCATTTCGTGTCGCGGTGTTTATGGTATAAAAAGACTTAGTCGGACTTAGTAAGGTGAAAAGATGGTTAACCGCTCATTTGTCATCTTTCACATAGCCATTATTAGCATTACTATAGCTCTCTGTCCTCTCCACGAAGCGTATACATATATAGATATATGTACGCTGATGGAAACGCGATGACTACAGAACAAAAGAGCATAATGAAATCTTGGAAAAATTTTCACGATTCTTATCGAATATAAAACGTTTTCCGTCCGATAGGTGTTTCTTATACGAAGAAAAGTTTCATCATCAGAAGATGGTTTATTTACTGGCGCAGTCCGGCGACCCGACTTGTAACGGCCTAACCACAGTTTCCGAAGGTTCACCCACCATAAAACTTAATAAAGGTAATTGTGCGAGCGAAATGTCTTTCAAGATCACAAATGATTATGGCATTCTTTGTATTTTCGCATTGTTCCCTTTGTTAACAGTCGACAAAGAGCACGGTAGATGCAAATATCCGGTCTGGGTAACTCAACACCATGACTGGCACTCTCTCAATGGCACGAAAAGCTATCACTTCACAAACAAGAACGCTACCCTGAGAGTAAAGATACAAGCGCAGAGTACCGGCGGCGAAACCGTCCACGAGGAAAAAATCGTTTGTCACAATTTGGAGAAGCTGTACCCGAACGACAACATGCAAGGGAATAAAGTGAAACTCGTCGCTCACGTCACCAGCGGCTGGTAAGCGATTTCTCACCTCAAATCGCGAATTCTCGCGCAATTTTTAACATACATCACAGTTGCTTGGATCTATTCTTATGATTGCAGCGACATTGGTTACATTTGCATGATATTCCACAAAAGAGACAGTAATATCATCGAGATACAGCAGTCAGGTGAGTATATACTTTGGCATTAATAAGCCGTCGTGACGCAACAAGACATTCGAAACGGGTTTTTCGCTTTTATTGCAGATCAAAAGGCGATTATGCCGGACGAGGCGTGCTCGATCTCGGATCCCTCCACGATGCCGTACACGACCTTAATAAGTAAGTGCTAATCCACGTTGTGTCGTCCCTCATAAATATTGATATAGAACACCTGTGCGCTTCGTTGTGATATCGCGGGTTAGTGGGTGAGCAGCAAAACGTATGCAAATCACGTCTATTTACGTTTTACAGCCACGTCCTTGCATCAGAGAAGATGTCCCAATTCAGGACGATACGAGATTATGAATTTTGCTCCGTTGTCGCATGCATTGTCCGCCAGTGTGTCGAGACAGCAGCGACGTCTGTCGAGGACGACCAAGAGGCGGACTTGGCCGGACAACGTCGAAGACGAAGAATGCAGGAAGACGGATATTCAAGTAGGCTGCACCTCGTCCGACCAAGCCGAGATAATAATCGGCAACACGTGCGAACACGAGAAGATTGGTAAGTACGAACGTACATTCGCCACTTTTTAGAATTCATAAGAAGCGACGCATATAAAGACCAAAAAACTTAAGGACGCGATATATTTTCGCAGCCTATTCTTGTCACGGCAGCTGGGAAGAGAAAGGAATGTGGTACACGATAGCGTCGCAACGAAATTCAGAAGTTCCAGGCAGCCCGGGAAAAACGTTCTGTTTTTCTATGCTTTTCGAAGGTGTCAGAGATAGAGGCGGTAGACAGAAGCCACAGGAAAAAGAGTTATGGCTGTCGACGCCATCGCGTACTTGTCAAAGAGAAGACAAGGATGAGTGGACGTATAAACTGTCGAATCAAGGTAATCACAAGAATACGATATTTTCGTGCGATTGAAGCTCAGGAAAAAATTATAGGTAATTTCGCGCATAGAAAACTGGGAAGGAAAAACTTTGGCTACCAAAATTTATGCGCTTGTATTCGATGTTGGGATATGATTTAGCGAAAATTATGTTGCATATAAAAAGAGATGTTCAATATTGCAACAATTAATTAGATAACAAAGTAATAGCATTTAAGATAATCAGGCAGTATCTCATTGGAATAACTCGGTCGTTAAAATAACGAGATAATTACAACAGTTTACCATAGTTCACTTTAGTTTCAGGATGTACTACACTATGTTAGGTTTAAATGCATGCTAAGTGAACGCGGTATAAATATTCAACATTCGCATTCTGTTGCAGGAGTGTGCGAGGACTTAATGAAGGCTTCAAACGCAGCATCCGCTCCATCGTTGTCCCAGCTTCTGTTTATCTTACATATAGCAGCTTACGCCGCTATTAATACGCCACGCGTATTACTTTCGAGATGATCTGCAGCTATTATGTAAGACTGTCAAAGTACTGTAATTTCCAGCACGAACTCTCAGGTATTGCGTGTTTCTGGAAGTGTATATAGCTCAAACAGTTTGATAGCTATTGACCGATCGATGGGCTGTCGATACGTAAGTAAGAGGTGGGAAATGTGCAGCTAAACGGCCATTACCGACAATATTAATTTCCGTTTCGTTGAAACAGCCTAATTAGTAAATCGGTGATTACGATAGTCCCCAATTGAAAATGGAACGATTTATACACGTTCGCAGATTATTTTTTTATACATACACTACTTATTGTAATTTATCGCAGACTGGTATTCTAAACGAGTGACCAAACTCTAGATTACTAGTGTTTCCGATACAACGTTTATTAGCTACGTACTGCCTGAATTGTCGATTAATTACTACAGTTCTCGACTAATTTTTGTTATTGTTTATTTTGTTTCTTGTATAATTCTGTGTAAAAGAGAATCGAGATGATATATTCAGGACTAGGCAAAAACCATCATAAATATGTATTTCAAATGCAGAAATATTCTATGAAAACTATATGTTTCAAATACTCTTGAAATACTGTTGAAAAATGGGGCTGAAAAACAAAATACAAAAGATATTCTTGAAAATTTTGCTTCAGGCTGTAAGATAACGAAATGATATTTCGTATCTCAAATATTTGCGCCATATAACGTATTTGAAATACCACCTAGTCCCGATATACTTTCGAAATTACGAAGGTGTATGCAATTAACGGGGCAGCTTCGAATCACGACCACTTCTGAGCATTTAAGCTCGAAGACTCATGTACATTATTAAGTACCATCGCGCTACTGTAAATACGACCAGGGTATAAGTAATCGAGATTTCAATTGGATTATTTTCGAGTAAAGATTGGGATATTGCTATGTAATTAACAGTTCGACAGATTGAATTCATACTCTGATCTAACGTAACGTATAGCAAATAGATTTTATCCCTTAGCTAGTACATATACAACTGTACATAACATAACTGAGATATTGTATAAAGACTGTTTTTAAAAGAGTATAGCAAGTATACCGCTCACACGATATTGCATTTTGTCACTGGAAAAGCGTGCGTTTTCAAGGATATTCTCGAGTCTGGCCTCGCAATAGGAGATCCGCGAGAGTACGACACTCGCGCTACGTGTTATTGCTGCACACAAGTTTGTAAACTAATTGTAAGACGAACTCACGGATCGGCGGATTAATGAAAGATATCTTACAATTTTCCTAAAATTTGTGATATAAACACAAAATTGATCGAAGCTGGAATTAACGAGGAAAATTCTAGGCTTCTAATAGTAAAATTTAAGTTTTAAACTTTCAACTCCGTCAAGAGAGATACACAGAATAATTTTATTAAAATATGTCAATCTTTTAAAGTTACGTAGAACAGGCAAGAGATAAGTTTCCCTTGATACCTTCTTCAAAAATTACCATAACTCTCCGCTCTAGAATTAATAGCTTTTCAAGATTAATAACTTTGTTGCGTCTTTAGAAAAAGTAAAGACACAAATTACCCTTACGTTCAGAAACTTGTATAACACTGTACATCGGTCAATGTTATTAACCCTTTCGTGACCGAGTCACTTCTCGTTGTTAAGTTTTTATTAATATAATATTTTTCGGTAATAGAACGCATACTGAATCATTAGGCCGTTTTAAAACTTTTTCAATTTTATCTAACTTTTTAAGTGATCTGGCGCAAACAAACGTTTCTTCAGTGAAATAGTTACCTATACATGTCCCCTCCATGATAGCATGTACTATAAATAGGACACTAATTGTGGTTCCTCTGATTCTTTGGCTAGGAACCAGAGAGATAAAAACTGTAAACGGGACTTGTATGTCTCAATGGTCATAAAAGGGTTAATCACTAAAGCGAGCGAGTGTGGTACATCTGCGGACGCATTAAGACTTGTACTAGTTGCGCGCGAATAGTTGCTTATGCATCTCTAGCATAGAGTTAGTGGATGTCGGAATAGATTGATCACGTTTCTCGTTATCATCATCGATCCGATGCGCGTCGAATTTGAATGCGCGGTGTCGTCACGTCTCGATTCACGCTGAATATGTATATCGCGACGAAGGGGATTTCCTCTGTGGAAACGCCGGGTGATACATTTTTTCGGCAGCCTGATACGCGCACGGATCTCCAGCGCGGGATCCGCGCGCGCTGTACAAATACTGGCGGTTGGGACTCGTGTACTTCGCGTGCTATTTTTCTTCGACATTTTCATGAATTAAGATAGCGTAACGAGCTAATGAAGATACTTACGGTCCGACGGTAAATTATACCGTGTTAATCGGTCGACTTCGAGTAACCTTACACACATTTGTATCATCCTATCTCTACATTCCGTAATAATGTAACTTCATAACACACACAGACTCGGGTGGCGCGAGAACTTGATCGCGAAGATGCAATTTATTTGGTGTTTCGAAAACATTCATTTTTGCGACAGGTAGATGGTATTAAAATGGAAAATTTTACTCCCAAAACTTTGGTCGGAGAGGTAACGTGACTAAAACATTAAGATTTAACCCTCGTAGAACGTTGGGGTCAATTTGACTCTTTCTTTTTGCAATTCATTTGAGTGTAATCCAAAATGTTAATTTTGTCACTCTAACGTAATAATAATAGAACACATAAGAGTACAATGGAAATCGTTACTTCGTCCAAATTTTATAGGTAAAACTGTAATTAGCGTTGACCCGAACGTCGCGAATTTGACTTTTGAAATGAACGCCTAACGAGGGTTAAAGATGTCAGTGTAACATTTGGCAATGTTAGGGCCAACGGCCGGCTTCGCGGAAGCGTAGACAACAAAAGCCTAGACGTTCAAACTAGAACGCATCCTGAGTACGTCCACGACGTTTGTACCGATTCGAGTACCAAGTAGAGATAATAGCGTGGTAAGCCTATACGATATCACGAACGGGAAAGGGAACCGAGAAAAATACGGTCTATCACGCGAGCCTCAATAGTTTTATATTTTTCTCAAACGACACACCGAAACATGTACATATACAAAGTTTTATTCATTATAAACGTGTGTGTGTGTGTTTGTATATATATATACTTATATATAGACACGCATACAGAGACACGTACTTACATGCCACTGGTCGCGTAATTAAGGGAGACGCGGATAGGAAAAGGGCAGCGTGTAGAGGAACATATATCTACGCGGACACACATTCTATTACTACATTTTAGTCGGATCTACATCCATTAACTCTGTGATATCCATCACATCTAGGCGCAAACGTGACAGCCAAAAGAAAAAAAAGGGGAAGGGACGGACGAAGCTGAAGCTCTAAAGGCATCTTTTTACTGTATATATCATATATTTTCTAAATAATGGACTGTTCCGGAATTCAGAAGATTTGTTGACGAGCGAAAGTGTATGGATTCGAATTATTAAATATTGGAGCATTTAAATAACGAAGACAGATTCTTATTTTTGTACAGATAGGACGACCTGTCGCGATATCCTACCACCCCCACCCCCACCCTCCTCGCACACACGTTAAGCGAAAACGTAGCCATGTACGTGCGAGTATATGCTTTACCGTAAGTTTTGTAACTACTTATATAGATATATCGTTAGCGTCATCTCCGAAGGCAGGAAGCGGCCTTTAGACGCCCTAGCTCATCGCCATGATTTTAATCATTACCTTTACCGATTACCGTCGGCGTTCCGTTGTACTGTACAATTATCGTTTTACTTCGAGACGAGACCTAATAGTTACGACATAGTACGGGCCTTGTTACTTTACGCGCGTCCGCGCGCGAAAACAGAAACGACAGAGCGATGCCTTAAATATACAATTTCTAATGCCTTACGCGAGTCACAAAAGTATAGGAACGGTCGGTTGCTTTCCACCCCAGAGCACGATTTCCTTTTTGGCAAGATAGGATTCGGCTGTACACCCTGTGCGTGCGCGTGTTAAACGAATTTAAATTGTCACCCCCCCCCGCAGCGTGGACACGCGACGCCTCCCCCCCCCTCATGTAGTCGATGCGGCTGTATTGAATTCCGGAAACAGATATTACACGATGTAACTTTAATACTTTTAAAGTAAGCTGTAATTTGTAAGGCGTGGAAACGAGCAACTTGTGCGGTGGTCACATTCGCGCGAAAGAATGGATGCGCGAGAGAGGAT